TTTCGTGACTGCACGCACGTTTCTGAGAACACGTCGTGCATTTTGGAACTTTTCCAAACAAGGTGTCTGCCCAGACACAGATCGATGAACGAATTAGCATATTTCTGAAATCTGATTATATATTTGAATTGGGCGTTTCATGCTGATTATGAATATCATAATCATTTTGCTTTTCACAAACATTTTTTTCACTCAAAAGATACCGTGTCATCAAAAATAGTTTCGTGACTGCACGCACGTTTCTCAGGACACGTCGTGCATTTTGGAACTTTTCCAAACAAGGTGTCTGCCCAGACACAGATTGATGAACGAATTTGCATATTTCTGAAATCTGATCATATATTTGAAATGTGCGTTTGAATCTGATTATGAATATCATAACCATTTCGTTGTTCTCGAACCTTTTTTTCACTCAAAAGATGACGTGTCATCAAAAATAGTTTCGTGACTGCACGCACGTTTCTCACAGCACGTCGTGCATTTTGGAACTTTTCCGAACAAGGCGTCTTTCTCCGAGGGATCAACAGTTCTCCTTGCAGAAAGAAATCAAACTCTGCCCATCTTCAAGGAGAAGTAGTTCTTATCAATTTCATATTCAATTCTTTATTTCGTAAGTTTCTCCTCTTCTACTGAGACCGATGTAATTCAGATGATTGTGGAGTTCGTTGGATTAGGCATTCTATTCATGATTATCAGTGCCCTCCCAAGACATTCAAAGATAATAAGACATTCGACTATCGGACTCGATGTGTCGAGACAGGCAACTTCAACCTCTGCTCTCCTACTACAGATCGAAGTTTATTATTAAAATTGACAGTAACATCGAGAACAAAGGTCGCGAAATACCGCCCCACAGCAATCACGTGACTACTCAGCGTTCAAATGTTTTAACCAGGAATTCCCACATCTGCAGTTTCATGTCTTGGTCCATGTCCTGATAGAGCTCACTTTCAACAATCTTCTTCATACAGTTGGGAGGTCCAACATAAACTTCTCTGCTGGCATAAATATTCTGGAAATGCTGTTCATTCAGAGAAATGCCTTGAAAGTTCACCTACCTTCAAGTGTTCAACGGAGTATTTCCAAGACAGAAGGAAAAATTCTATTCGTAGTGCCTTGGTTATACGTCTGGACAGCACCAGTGATTCCATGTATTGGTGACACAGTCGAACGATATAATTCACTTCGAACGTGTGTCCCCAATGAAGCAACTCTCTGAAGTTATGGTCTGGAAGCATAAAGACTAAGTTCGAACCACGACGACCATCATACCATTTACTGGCTCACAAGATGAGTAGAGGTAATGAAGAAGCTCTCGAAGATCTTCGACTGGAATCGAATCCTTCAAACAGATTTCAGAAGACCCTTCGCTGCAATGAAAAGGTTGAAACAGTCAACTAGTAGGCTCTCACCTCTCTTTGATCATAGCTCTGAAGATCTTAGAGTTCCAGGATAGAATCTGAGATTCAAAGATTTAAACGAGGAGCATAAACTCTCATACCTGACTATCGCAGTGAAGCTTCTCACCGTAGACATCCAATACCAAATCGTCCTTTTCATCTGTACTATCGAAGTTTCTCATTTCAAATTTACTACAAGAGGAAAGATAATTGGAAGTACTCAAGCAAACTAACTGAATTCCTTTCGTTA